CGTCCAGCCGCCTAAATTGATACATGCCAGTAGATCTGCATACTTCGTTGCTGCAGCAGGTGAGAACCAGTTTAACTCAGGCAGGTTGAAATCTCCTGCAAACAGTTTGTAGTCGCAGGACAAATTCGATGCTTGCGCAAAAGTAACCATAAGTGCGTTATCACCCTCCACTGAGGTATCAGGTGGTCCATAAACACACGCCAACTGTTGTTTACTTTTGTGAAGTCAGCCGTACTTCTTTAAATAGACGTCTTGTAAATGGGCTCCCCTCCGTCAGCCCTCACCCCATTCCAACGAAACACAAAGTACCCGACACCCATATCCCCTCGTTACTCCCAATTCTCCCCCTTCTTCCTCCACAACGACCCCTCCACAAGTAACCTATGTCGCGGGCCGTCTGGTTCTTTCTCCGTGCCATTGGCATACATCCATCACAGTGAGCCCAAGACAAGGACATACGCAGCGGTTTTAAGGGAAGGTACCACCGCCTCTAATGTACATGTTCCGGCTATGTATAACGCTAAGATTAAGTCTAATTCAAACCCCGAGCCTTCCTCCCATTGGTCCCAGTTCAAATCTGTTCTTCACAAGATTTACCACTTGGATTCTCTGATCAAAGACAGCGCAAATCCTCCTCAACCGAAGACCCCCAGGCGTGCCCTACCGCCCTCTCGTGACCGATGTGTCATCATCATGAATGCGCATTATTCGATAAAATATGTACAAGCAGGAAGGATATTAGACGACCAAGTGTTCCTTCAACGACTTATCTCTGCGTTGTTCGACGAAGGCGAACTGGAAATTAACGTTAGATCGGCCTTGCGCTTTGGTAGGATACAAGAAGATTTCCTCTAGACTCGCCCTCGTAAGTTGTGTGCTAAGACGAGGAAAAATGTCGGCGCATTTTCCTACGAACCACAAGTCTTACAGGCGAGCCGTTTTACGTGTTGCTGGAATTCTCCCAGGAAGATCGGATTAAAAGAGAATAACTATTAATGAGCTGAGGACCCGTCAGGCGAGCGGTGTAACGGACCTTCATATCGTGGATTTTCGCGTAGTTAGGAAAGCTCCGAGAACCCGTTGGAGGCCTACTTTTGTCCCCCTAGGAGAGTAACGCAAAAGAACGGACTGCGTGTGCTGTTCGCCAACGTCTTATTCTGTGAATTTAACTTAATGAGATCCAGAGCTTGTCGCGGATGTTTGTCCTGATTTACTGGCTTTCACCGAATCATGGTTATTCCCAGACATCATTGACTCTGAAGTGTCTATCCCTGGATAGCACCTTTCTCGGGCAGATCGTCATGGGAGAAGACGGGAGGCGGCGTTTTACTCTATTGGATGGCGGACCTGCAGTCACATCTATTTCAGGTCTAATGTGACAATGACAGCGATTTCGATGCCTTTTGGTGCCGCATTCAAAACGGGTGCAGCTCTTCCTTGATAAGTGTCATCTACGGAGAGCCACTGGGCGCTGGAGCGCGCCTGTTGGTACGGATCGGGAGACACGGTACAGGAAAGGATTGCCCTATACTGAGAGATTGCAGTGCTGCTACTGTCGACTGGAACATCATTCTTTGCAATCGTCCACCTGATTCTTTTGATGCAGAATTCCTCGATACCGTTCTCGACTGCAGCCTGTATCAACATGACTGCATGCGGACTCGTATTCTCGCTGGCCAATCGCCTCATATCCTGGAGCTTGTGCTCTCCACAGCGCAGACGTCATGGACCGAACAGTCTTTCAACTCATCGGTAAAAGCAATCATTGTACTGACTTGTTTCAATGGACTATTCGCTTTGCCATTCACAACTCATGTACCCTCCGCCGAACTATCTGGCATGCTCATGCCCTCCGCCTTAAAACTGCTGCAAGTATTGAGGTTGGTGTTCCCGAACATCTCAATGCTGACAGCACCTGGGATCTGCCGTACTCCAAGCTGACGTCACACACTGAAAAACCTGTCGCGAGCACCAAAAAGAGACCGCTCTCTAGAGGTCCTCCGTGGATCGATCATTCACTGCGATCGCCGTTGAACAAAAAATAGAAGTTGTGGGACCTCTTTAGGATCACATGAGCAGAGCATGACCACCTCGGTTACAAATGGTTATTAATACCCGTACCTCGAGAAACGTGAGAAACGTCAGCCATTTGAACTCTCCCCGGGCACACATTAAAGAAAGACCCCTAGGACGCTTTTCTCCTAGAGCAAACGAAGCACCAGAGTTAGCAGTGGTATCCCTGCTCTATGTTCCTTTAAACATGAGCATCCAGTTCATGAAGCCATCAACAAGTCCAGTCTCCTGGCGGGGCAATATGCTTCAGTGCACTCGACAACAGCGTCGTTCTCTGACAGACATGTGTGCACGCCCATTCTCTGTTGGAGCACGTCGATATCAACACTGACGTCATGTGGAAACTTCTCGGTGCGTTGGATCCCTAGCCATCGCCAGGTCTTGACGACTTGCTCTTGTTCCTCATGACAGTGGCTCAGCACATGGCTTCACATTTCACGCAGGTCTTCAATCGATCGTTCCAGTCCGGAATGCTCCCGGCCGCTTGGAAGGTAAGCATCAGCAAGTTCATATACAAAGGAGGGAACCGGCAAGAACCGACCCATTTGCCTTACACCGATGGTGTGCAACATCATGGAACGGGTCTTGAAACGGGCACTTCATCTTCATCTCGAGAGCTTGGTTCGGTATCCGGTGCTGGGCACCGTTTTCGCAAGGCTCTCTTCTGTCCTACCAAGTTGCTTATGGCAAGAGAAAAATGGGCAAATTCGTTGGATGTTGGCAAACCTCTGGGCGTTGTGTTCGTGGATTTCATCATGGCTTTTGACAAGGACCCGCATAAACAGCTACTCTTTTAAACTCCAAGGAATCGGTGTTACTGGAAACTTTCTGTCGTGCATCTCTGATTTCCTTCGCTGTCGTGCATGTTGGTGAGAGTGAAGGGAACGTATTCCGATCCTGTATATATGACCAGCGGTGTCCCACAATGCTCCGTCCTCGGCAATGAACTCTTCAACCTATTCAACGACGATCTACCGTCTGAGCTTCAACCGGATGATCTAAACATTTAGAAGGAGGTATCCTCTCTAGAGGATGCTTATAGACTAGAAGAGACGCTCGATCTCCTGCACAGTTGGTCGATTCTGTGGCGCTTACCCGTTAATCCAGACAAATGTTCCGTACTGCCTATCGGCGCTTAACACATTGGTGTTTTCCTGCACAAAAATTAGCTTCAGAGAGGGATCTGGGCGTGATTGTTTCCCCAGATTTAAGATCCACTCAGGACAACGTGCAGAGGGCTGCCACGGCCTACAGGATGTTGCATACCATCCGAAGAGTTTACTGTCGCCTTTTGCCGGAGATGTTTGGACGCCTATTCACCTCACATGTGTGCCCGATTCTAGAATACCGTCTCCCTGCTGCCTGCCCGGCTTCCAAATTTTAGCGCGACACGACTGAAAAGATTCAACGGCGTGGATCGAAGATTGTCTCTACATTACGTGACCCGCCTTATTCTCTTTGCTTCCGACAGTTGAATTTGTTTTCTATGAATTACCGTCGCCGGCTCAGGGATATTATTTTCAGCTTCTTATCCTCAGGGGAGAGCTGGGGAGAGAGGGTTACGAGAATTCTTTCACCTCAACGTTGGGAGTTGGAATAGAGGTCACAGATGGAAAATATTCAAACCACAGAGGCTCAAAGTACGGTATACACTTGCTCTATCCACTCGCGTTGTGAATCATTGGAATCGGTTACCGCCGCCCGTCGCTGATGTGCAGACGGAGGAGTGCTTCAAACGGTTGCTTGATTCCCAACAGTTGCATCGTGTTGTTTCATCTACGAGTGGGATGGCCTCCGCGTTTTCCGTTGCGCAATGACGAGCATCCCAGCAATGATTAGGAAGCGATGTAGCCGAAAAGGAATCTCTTTCCAGCACGCTACTACCCAATGGACCAATGAACCAATATACGCGATGAAACAAAGGCTCGCATAAACCGAAACGACTGAATGATATAGTCACACACGAATACGAATATTGGTGATACAACGTGAGTTATTAGGTAGTTGGCATGCTTTTTACCAATGCTATGGGTGATATCCGGAGCAAATATGCCTGCAAATCCTAGTAACCTCAAGTTCAAGTTCAAGCGGGACTGGAACGATAGGATTATCCCGTGAGTGTTCCTTCTTCGGCGGGTCGTTGAACCAGGAGTTGGCGAACTTTGAAATACTAATGGACCTAAAACAAAGACCGCATCAAACCCTGTCCAAACAAATAAAGGCCACGTATCCTGCCCTAGAAGTCCCTGCTGGGTCGGTTACGTGAAGCAAGAAAGAGAAAAAAGTAAACGCAGAAGGCAAAAGAGAAAGTGGTAAGAGCTAAGCAAGTGGAATACCAAGATATTTGAGTCAATAAAAAAGAACTGAAAAGTGAAGGTGAGTCAGCTAGGAAAAAGGAAAGGTTTGCTGTTGCCACCCGAGAGCATCGAGCTGGCACACAAAACCCTTAACCGTAGGTTCATTAACCAAGTGATCTGGAAGCGAATTCCAGCGATCTATAACTCGGCGCGATAGACGAGTTTCCGTCCTAATCCTATCAGACCGTGGTTTATGCAGTTTCAGTGGGTGACCGCGGAGACTAGGTAACGTAGTGGGACTAAAAAGCCCAGACAAGTCCGGGTCAATCTTACCCGTCAAAATACGAAAAATATGAAAGCGTTCCATTGACTAAAGATTTGGCTTAAACCATTAGGTTAATAGCTGCCGGAAGGTTTTAGGCTGGTTTTTATTTTCCTTTATGGTTTTGACGGCAGAGTAAGTACGGTTGCCTATTACCGATTTATTACTTAGCATTATAGGTAGTTTGGTCTGTAGTACGATTAAGTAAGAAATATATAAAACGTTAGGCGCATTTGATATAATGACTTCGTGGTATTGTTTTTATGCTCCATACTTCTAAATATGTGTGGCCAGCTAATTTCAGTATTGTTTTACACGATGTCCGGGAGAAACCGGTTGTTTTGAAATTGTTTGATTGGGTGTTTTTCGCTTCGTTTAATCACTGTTGTATTCGATGCCCCACAATCCGGGCGATAGAGTGTTTGCAAAAATCAAAGGATTCTCAAATTGGCCTGCTCGGGTAGATTTTGACATGCACAAACTAATCATTTAGATCAACCCATTACCCCCGGATGTCCAGATACCTAAAGGGAAGTTACCAGTCTTTTTCTACGGAACCTACCAAGTGTAAGTTTTTTCACTTTCTTTATTCCGGCGCAGTTCTTTTGTGCCAATGAAAAACGTTGTTTCATACGAAGAGTTCAAGGATAAGTGGGGGAAACCGAAACCTAATCCGCAATTTATGACTGCTATTGAGGAAATCGAAACCAACCCGGGGATATTTATGCTCGGGGAGGTATTTTTTCTCGATTAATACTTCTGATACTCACCAGGATCCTCGCGCGGAATCATTTCTGCTCCAATTTTATAAGTTCAAAGTTGGTAAGTACTGTTTGGCCATTTTCCTTCTCGTGATTTGGTTTCAACTGTCTAAGGATTGTTTTAAACGATTGTTGAATTCCCACTGAGTGCACAAGGATTTTGTTGTTCCCAATACGACCACAGGGGTCCTCTGCGGAACCTTGTTTCGCAAGGATCGGGAATTGACGGATCTGTCAAAGGAACTTTTGCTCTCTACCGACCAATGAACCCCTATTAGCACCATCTGTCCCTTCAGCGCCCGATGCCGGACACTCGTCGGATGGTCGTAAAATACGTTTTATGTACAGATGCAGCACATTTTAGCATAATATTAAGGAGCGGGCAATATGGTTACAAAAGGAGGCTTTCATAGCAAAGATTCTGTTACATAAATGTAAACATAATATTGTCGTTACATATTGTGTATGTCGCCATATGCGTGGAATTGCAATAACACGCAGCCAGTGGTGTGAGTTGAAGTTAGAAGATAAATGCCTAGCAAAGCATGTTTGGGGAGGCTCAAGAATCGGGGTGTTGAAAACGGGGTTATAAGTGAAGTTGGAACAGGACGGTCATTGAAGACCCTCTCGATCGATATCTGCTGCTTATCAGAGACCCGGGTGCAAGACTCGAGCTCTGTGCTCACTCTGCGATCCCCTTCAGGTGACGCAAGCAGTATTTTCTCATTGCGCCTATCCGGTGACGATGCAGCTTCGAGCACCGGCCAAGCTGGTGTTGGCATTGCCCTGAGTCCCCGGGCTGACGCTGCTCTGGTTGACTGGATCCCAATCAGTAATCGGTTGTGTGCGGTCCGATTATCTGGCTCGTTCAAAGCTACGAAGTCGCATGGGACCAACATTGTCTATTCGTTATCGAAGCCTATGCACCCCCAAACTGTAGCCAGGACTAAGTAAAAGACGACATCTATCGTCAACTGAACGAGCTCCTTCGCCACAGAAGGAGCCCGGACCCTGTAGTGCTGGTTGGGGATCTGAACGCTCAAAATGGAAAATTATCCACTGATGTACTGCATCAGGGCGGCCAACATGGTGTAGACACCCGTAATGATAACGGTAAGCTGTTACTTCATTTGTTTGAGAATGCTCGCTTATTTCTTGCGAGCACCATTTTCGGACACAGCACTAGCCGGAGGATGACATGGCGCCCACCAGTCTCGAACCAGCCTTGGACGCAGATCGATCACATTGCTCTCAGTTACCGCTGGAGAGGCTGCATCCAGAACTGTCGCTCGACTTGGAGCACATGTGTGGACACCGATCATGCACTTGTATGTGCTGACATGCGGATGCGTTTTGGCGGACGCCCACGACGACGCCGTGAGCGCATTGACACCAGCCAATTGACAAAGCCTGTTGTTCTGAATACGTATCGAAGTACACTGACATGCGAGTTGAGTAAGCGCTCACTGGCGACAATTGATGATCACTGGTCACATGTTCACCAGACCTTACTAGCAGCAAGCAAATCCTTATGTGGTAAGTCTAATCGACAACATGGACATTGGGTCTCTTCGCGGTCTCTGGAACTTATCGATGCTCGCCGGCATATCCCGGATAGAAGCGAACACAATGAAACTCACAAAGAGCTCCGGATAATACTCCATGCTAGTCTGAAGAGGGACCGCGAATCTTGGTGGTCTCATCGTGCGTCAGGTGGAAGTGGCCGCTGCCCTTGGCAACCATCGCGTTATTCCGTCTGATAAGGGAAACGGGCAGCAGGAGACCTGGTGTTAATGAAACTATACGTGACGAGAGTGGGCAGCCTATCCACAATTTGTCAAAACGTTTGGAGCGTTGGGCTGAGCATTTTGAAAAGCAATTTAATCGGCTAGAATTGTTCGATTCTTTGCCGATCAGTGATCGCCTTGCTCCGTGGGCTGTCCCTTTGGATCCACCCTCTCGTTCAAAAGTCGAACGTGAGATCGGACGGTTGAAGTTGAACAAAGCCTCAGGACCAGATGATCTACCCCCAGCCCTCTTCAAATTCGGAGGCTCTGCTCTTTTTGATGCTTTATATGAATTACTAATGAAACTGTGGGGGCAGGAGACTGTCCCAACCAACTGGAGCCGCTCCGTTATTGTTCCCGTCTTCAAAGGAGGCTCGCGTTCGGAATGCGGCAACCATAGAGAAATCAGTCTGATCTCCATCGCCTCCAAATTACTCGCCTCCATAATTCTTCTCAGACTGGCGCTCGTGAAAGTCAGATTCGTGAGGAGCAAGCCGAGTTTCGTCGTGGTCGTGGCTGCATCGACCACATCTTCACCTTGCGTCAGTTGTTGGAGCACCGTCACACATATTGGCGGCCCACTGTACTCGTGTTTCTCGACATCAAAGGTGCATTCGATTCGGTTGGTCGGTGTGCCCTTTGGAATTGTCTACTCAGGAAAGGTGTGCCTGAGAAATATGTAAATATTATCCAAGCATTATACGCGTGTAGCACGGGCAGAGTGAGGGCTTACGGCAAGCTGTCGCCACCCTTCAATATCTCCAGCGGTGTGAGGATGCCCGCTGTCACCTTTCCTCTTCAACTTCCCTATTGACGAAGTCATGGAGATTGCATTTACAGGTCAGGACTTGGAAGGTGTGGAACTACTCCCAGGAGAACGACTTATTGACTTGGATTATGCAGACGACATTGCTCGCGTCTGTGACAGCTCCCAGACGTGCCAAGCCGCGCTGGACAGATTAGCACTGGCTGTCAGCCACTTTGCTTTGCACCATCGAAATGCAAAGCGTTTCTCCAAGATTGGCAGGGAGCGCCTCCTACACTGACCCTTGGTGGGAATCAGCTAGAAGTCGTTCGGAAATTCAACTACATGGGAAGTTGTATCAGCGCCCTTTGGATCGAAGACGAGATCACGAACCGTATAGCAAAAGCTCGAAGTGCTTTTGCTAACCTTCGCCACCTATGGCGGCGGCGCGACATTACTCTCGCCCTGAAGGGTAGAGTGTACAATGCAGCGGTACGTTCGACCTTACTGTACGGTTGCGAAACCTGGCCCCTAAGATCAGCAGACATGAAGAGGCTAGTTACGTTCGACCTTCGGTGCCTTCGCAGTTTGATTCACGTCTGGTGGGAACACCGTGTGAGCAACAAGCATGTTCGACGCCTTATTTACGGCACATCACCATCATTTCACGCACCAGGCTCCGATGGCTCGGCCACGTGCTGCGCATGCCAGTCCACAGACTTCCACGACGTGCGTTGTTTGCTCACCGGGGATGTGGATGGAAGAAGAGGAGGGGTGGCCAAGCGATGACTAGGTCGAGAGGAATGAAGGCCCTCACTTCGGAGCTGCCCTCGGTTGGAGCGTCACAGCTCCCTGGTTGGAGTCCAAAAGATGGTGAACACCTCTGGCTGGATACACTTGCTGACATGGCAAGGATCCGACCTCAATGGCGTTCCTGCTGTGAGTTTCTTAGTCCCTCCCCATCCCTTTTAGCCTCCTCTCCACCTAGGATCTCATTTCAAAGCGTAAAACGATTTTTCTTTTTACCTAGTAGCCGGCTGGTAGCTTACCGGAACGATGCCTATCCGTTGCTGGTAGCTCAGTGGGTATGCAGCTGTTGTACTTATTTTTCCTTTATATATTGTGGCACAGTAGCTGAGGTGTTTCCCACCTCTGGCTGACGTGTGTAATGATGATGATGGTGATGTAACTGGCGATATTGGAAGGGGAGTTAATGCGGCTAGGTTATTTTAGGGGGCAAAATCTATGGGAAGCAGCGTTCGAATGGGAGCTCGCTTAATTTCTGTCGGCTAGCGCCCGATGTGTGACAATTTTTCGCCAGTCGGGCTACCATCGGGCACCCATCGAACACCGGTGCCAATAGGGACGGAGGCTGATGTCATCACTGCTTTCTTCCAACCTTCGATGCAATTTCCTTCAGCTGTGTTCTGAATTTCCATATTTAATGCGTTGATTGTTGGGTCAGGAGTGCTTACGCTATTTCTATGCGTGCGACACCGAGTCTCGACAAACGATCTCAGCGTCTACCAGTTGCTGTTTCTCGATAAACCTAGTGTACCGCTTTAGTATCCTTTCAAACAGATTCACATGCAGCTCGGATCGTGTCTTTTAGTTCGGTGGCCAGAAGGACTTCACTAGTTCAGCAATCCGGTCACTGATTGGAATCTGCGTAGTTGTGGGTGACGTCGCCGTGCACTCAGCCCCGCGCTACTGTGGGTGGTGGCGCAGCAGCGAAGTATCGGTACAATGTGCTTGGTTTCCTTGTCTAGGCCATCTTTTACATGTCTGCCAGTTACCAACTGTAACATGCGTGCGTGCCTAGGGCTTACAAATGTCGTAATAAATCGAAGGGCTGAAATGCAAAACAAATACTTTTTAGGCGGCTGGATAGTTTTATCAATCACTTAGTAAGATACGGAGTGTCATTGCTCCATTACTAAGTAGAGAGCAACGAAAGACCCTTGTCAGTTTCCTCGATTCTGATTCAGTGCATGTTTGACGCAGCTGAATGCGAAGCGTCATTCCTTTTGGGGATCGTTGCTGTTGCGGTACGAGCAGCATATTCCTGTCATACTCATCAGATGGCAATTTAGCAGACTTGAAATTTTATGCATCAGCAATGATCTCCGCTAGGCTACTCCAGTCACGACACGACGAGACTGGATCTTAACTTGGTGTGATGGTTTTTGTGCCTCAGTGACCCATTGAGCTATGCTTGATAGTGCTTTTTTGCACATTCAGAGCCACTCATACCATATTGGTCAATGGTTAAAGGCCAGACAAACTCAGTCTTCTGGTCTTCCAGGTTGGGGGTTGGAGTGTGGCTCCATAAAACAGGCTCTCTGTAGCCCAGTGCCCAAACCCCGCTGCTTTGCAGTAAGGTTTTTGAACCGAAGGCTTTGATAGAAAATCCTAATCGTCCTCCTGTCTAGGCCTAGGCAATCTGACAGTATCCTGCCCACGCAATACAATTTCTTGATACTTTGGCCGTCGCAGAGGATAATCAACGGCGCCCTATCTGCTGCATCG